GACTGTAAAATGTTGACAGTTATCATATGTAAACAAACAAAACAAAACAGTGGAAAAGTAAACATTTCAGTTTATGGCTACTCAGTTACAGAAGCCCAGGCCTCCTCACGCTGCTTAATTACAATAATCAAGTCGTTTTCGTTAAAAACGACTGAAAACTCTCCCACGGTAACAAAATGTTCCTCCATGTCCTCGACGTCATTGGTTAGACCACACAAATCGTACTCTTTGAAATATGCACCAATTGCGGAATTACTGACGGTCAGTGTGTGATCTTTGCCATCGCAGGACAGACACAACGTCCCCGAATATGTTGGCAAGTAGGAAGTGGATTTTTGCATGAATTTGCATCCTACACACCTGTGGACTGCCACTTTCCCATGCAACTCTTGTGTGGCCTTACATTTCTGACAGCGGCGTTTGGAAATTATCTGGACTGCCGTCACAGTCCCTGATAGTTTTGAAACCCTCTCGCCCTCACCAAATTCGCCGAAATCACCGACTGCCACATCTTCGATTTCTACAATAGTGGTAGACGGACTACCTGTGAGGAAAATATTTCTGTCCCTCTCCCTTGTCGAGAGCTCTGTAAATCTATAGGATTTTAGAGGATGGATGTCAGTGATAGTTTTATAAACTGTCAAATACAAACACAAGCACGTAAACACTATAAAGCATCACATTTACAAACAATAAACAGCATTATATATGCAGTAAAAAAAAAAACACTTCAGTTCGAAACAAATCAATGATACATATATTGAACTGTGAACACAAAAAAAAGACTACAAAATGTTGACAGTTATCATATGTAAACAAACAAAACAAAACAGTGTAAAAGTAAACATTTCAGTTTATGGCTACTCAGTTACAGAAGTCCAGGCCTCCTCACGCTGCTTAATTACAATAATGAAGTCGTTTTCGTTAAAAACGACTGAAAACTTCAGTTTATGGCTACTCAATTACAGAAGTCCAGGCCTCCTCATGCCGATGTGAAAGTCCTTTACTTCCCTGTCGATGCCTTTAACATTCACAATCCTCGTGGACGTTCCCAGGGCCAAAATTTTTGCTTCCAGGACCAACCTATAACACAAATAATCCTACACCAATATGTCCTTCATCCTTACTTGATGAACATTTCTATTGTAATGTCCAAATGTCAGGTCTCATCCTATCATAGTAGCATTACCTACTTTCTGACTATTTAAATGCATTGGCCATCACTTAGTCTGTACTTCTTTTCCCATCATTAATGAACTACTAATTTTATGCCATTCACTGCATTCCTCCCCATCGCTTCTGTCCATTAGCTTTAGACCCTTCTGTCACTTCTTGCAGTTACTAGTTGTTGTTGTTTTTTTTTCCAGTTGCCAAAAACGTAGCATCATTATCACCTTCAGTTCAACTGTAAGTGCATTTTTAGGTGACATAGGAGATTGTATCCGGTTCCTAATTAGGTAGGTAACAAAAAGAATGCCCTCATGATCGAGCCTGTACGTTTTTATCAATTCATTATTGTCGTACATCTGCAGGGCGTCATTTCTTTGACGGAAAGTGTGCGGTCTCCGTCTCGGTGCGCGTAGTGCAGCTGCCATCATTCAACTCCTAACTGGTTTAGGAGTCCTCTCCAGCTCTCTTAAATAATTTAGGAGCTGAGACCAAGTCTTAACACTTAAGAATGTTTATGCATGCCACTTATTCTTATGTCTGGGAGTAGGAGCAAAATCACGTAACTCTTAGAATTGTGACGCATTTAAGAGTGAAATTTGATGCATACCGGTCTAGGTCTCGCACACTACGAGGAGTAAAAGTTGTCCGACTTGGCTGCAGTCAGTTTATACTCCAGACCTAGCTGCAGCTGCCGGCAGAAGATAGAAAAATGCAGCGGGGGGATGTGCTGTGTGTTTAGCATGTTTACCAATCATCCATATGAGGACACCCTATATAAGGCTTAGGTGCTAGTTAGGGCATTCTTTGGCTTGCTGGCTTCGACACTGCCTACTTCCAGGTTGTCCCACATCCTCCGACTCCTTGCCAGTGTTGCCAACTTATAGCGACATTGTCGCTATATTTAGCAAGTTTTTAGACCTCTCTGGCGACTAGTTTTCAAAAAAGCGACTATCGACAAATCTAGCGACTTTTTCTACTGTCATTGGAGACTTTTGGAGACTCTGACGTGGAAGCCCGTATCGTTCTTACTCTTCTCACCGAGCAGCGGGTGCTGCCGTGGGCTACCCTCCCGTCACAAAGCATTCACAGACAGACAGTCCTCACGCAGCAGCCCCGCCCAGCTGCAATCAGAGCAGATGTTCACCCTTCCGTGTCCAGACTGCAAATGAATTGCGCATGCGCGAAGCCACCACTGGCTGATCCTGCCTTGGCTGATTGCCAAAAACTTTGCCAAGTAAACAGTTTAATGACAGTTTTCAAGAATAAGTAACTCCGTCAGAGTGTCTCTTTGGGGTCACTTTTGTCCCAAGCCCGGATATAGGAGGAGGGTTGGAATTGTGATATAGAAAAACAAGAATCGACAGAAGAAAGTTCATTTGGAGTTCTAAACGTATTTAGGTTTTTTTTAACCATCTTTTGTCTCTCCCATGACATTATTCCTCTCTCCTACTGCGACTTTTGGGACAACCAATAGCGACTTTCCTTGCTGACGAGTTGGCAACAGTGCTCCTTGCCACTAGTGTGAGTAAGGTAGCAGCAGGAGCTGTCTTGGGGTTTAGGCGCTGTGTTCTGTCATTGTTTTTTTTTTTGTAATAGCAATGCAGCGTAGTAAATCTGATAAAAGGCGGAGTGCGTACAGTTTCCTAGCATCATTAGAACTCGAATTTCTTAAGTCGAACCAACCAGTTAAACGACTTTTCAACTTTTTTTGTCGACTTTTTTAACGTATAAGTCGATCTGAAAAATGTCAATAATGCCCTAGTACAGATGCAAATGTACCACTGCCTCACTTTACCATTTCTTTTTATTACACTTTTTAATTGTTTGAGAACTGAAAATAACAATTTTTTGCAGTTTTGCTAGTGGAACTTGGGTTGCGCACCAGTCAACATATTCACTGTAGATGGTGACGGACCTCAATTGTACTGTCTTGTGCTCTGAAACTATTTTTTTAATTCTCTCGTCAGGACACAGTGGTGAGCCGCTGCTCACTTTTATACACAGTCTTGATGTAAGATGGAATAGTTCTGTGAATAAGAAATAATGACAATGTTTGAATGAGACAATTGTAGTGTTTGTGAGAGAGTATTGTAGCGTCTGCGAGAAAGAATGATAATGTTTGTGTGAGATGATTGTAGTGTCTGTGAAAGAGTATAGTAGCGTTTGTGAGAAAGAATGATAATGTTTGTATGAGATGATTGTAGTGTCTGTGAGAGAGCATAGTACTGTTTGTGAGAAAGAATTACAGTAGAAGTGAGATTCGATGGTTGCTCATGTGAAATAGAATAATGATATGTGCATGAGATAGAATGATGATGTATGCAAGACAAAAGCACTGTGTATGAGACGGAATGATGTGAGAGGCATTTATTCTGTGTGAGAAAGTATAATTAAAAAGGAAGTTAGTTTAATCAAACAGGAAGACAGGAAAAATACTCATGCCCTGATTGGCTACAAAGGGGCAGTTGGGATTGCAGCCTTGAAAATAAACCCTGCACTTTTAGGAATACTGTTGGCAAATGTTTAGCTCCAGGTTATATTTAAATTAAGCAGCAGCACTTTAAATGAAAACTGCATCTTTGGTAGAAGAAGAGCAAGATGCCCATGACATTCGTACTCATTTACCTTCTTTTTCAAGGTCAGTTTTTGTTTGTGGAAGTAAATGGCAATGAGGAGGACATTACTATTTTTTTCACTAATACATTGAGGTGTATTCAGAACATTGTAAGAGAAATTGACAGTGTGGGACAGGACAACATGATTTTGGAAAGATTATTCCGTGAGCTTAATGGATACACGCATACAATTTCTTTTGTTATCTCTATTAGCCAGCAGTTACAAAGAGATGACAGTGAAGGAATTATAGGTATACTGGACGTGCTATATGCATGTTTTTGTAGAATCATAAATTCTTATGAAACCTCAAGGTCAATGGAAACTAGACAAGGGAATATGGTTACTTCACTAGTACCACCATCAATCAGAGCTGGTCATCCTGGTCGCCCTCAGTATAATATACTACATGAAAAAATTACCTACTGTCTGTCACTTGGAATGAATTGGCAAAGAATAGTGGTATGTTTTGGAATTAGCAGGAGAACCTTGTACAGACACAGAGGCGGCGCTACCATTAGGCAAAAGTAGGCGAGCGCCTAGAGCCCCGAACTGCCAGGGCCCCATGCCTTTAGTCGTACTAAGTATTTTTAGCAAGCACTTACAACTAACGTCTGAAATTATTAAAAATCCACTCGCTAAAACAGCATTAGAATGCCATTACGCCACGCGAGTTGCTGAAGAGTATTAGTCACCCCCCTGCCGCCCCCAACACACACTGCAATGGTACATTCCGTGTGACGAAAGCAGAAGGTTATTCACTGCAGTTTGATTAAGGAGCAGGAGACGTACTACTACAATCATGAAACGGAGTTACCCAAGTGGTGCAGAAAAATGGAAAAAACGGGAGGAGAACAGACAATTGTTTGAGTCCTTGACAAAGGTAACAGCATTTTTTACACCAGTGCAGCAGATAGGTACTAACAACCCTAATCTCACAGACACTGCCTGCATTCCCACCTGCCTCTCCCTCCTACTTATGCTGCCATAGCCATATC